CTGTACCTAAATGTCTCATTAGTGGTTCCCCTAGGGTGTTACTGCCCCAAAAGTGGATCACTTAATGAGCTCTCGTAGGCAAGGGGCGCAATAATTAATACCACGTACATTTTGGTAAACATTACGTACATTAATCTGATGCCAAACAAACAGAGTGTACTTTTAATATTAACGTTTACGTGCGTTGTCGAGGTTCGAAGTCCTGGTTGACGACCGCGATGGTCTAGCGGTTTAAGCACCGCTTTATGTCCGATGGTCGCGGGTTCAGTTCCTCGTACGGCTCAAACATTTATATTCATAAGTTTGATTGTTTGTATCGGTCTAGGTATCTGGTATATTTACTAAAAATAATATCTAAGTAAAATATCAGTAGTCTAGTACTCATAACACAAGCTCTGCTTACCTCGGTACTAGATGGCGTTGTGTGAATTATCAAGGGGTTTTATTTTTATTCATGAGTATGATTATTTGTATAGGTCTGGATGTTTTCTATGTTAAGTATGTACTTAATAAAAAAAGTACATATATATGTACTTGTGTTATATATTAACACAAGCTCTGCTTAGCTTATGGTAGCTAGATGGCGCTGTGTGAATTGTACTGAAATATTATATTATACTAGCTGTCCCGGCAAACGTTGTTTTGCCTTAAAATATAAATAAAAATTTAGGGGCGGACTACCCCTAACATTTAGGGGGATGAAAAATAGATGTTGGCTGGCTCAGACCTACTCAATACGCTCACAAAATTTCATGAGAATCGGTCAAGCCGTTTCGGAGGAGTATGGGAACGAAAACTGTGACACGAGAATTTTATATATAAGATAAAACTAGCTGTGCACTCTGATTCACAGTCTTGGGAGATGATTAATGATTGGGTAGTAATGTTTGTCATCCTGTCAGTTCAATATCTACGCAGTCTGGACTGGTAGATTCGCCTTGATGGAGGAAGTAACCTGATGCTCAACCTATCGTCAACCAGGGAAGGGGATTGCTAGTATGTGAACTGATGATCCTATTGCTGGCAATGTACCATGACAGGTTGACATCCGCGCGGTTCCCCTGGAAACCATCATGATAAATTCCCAGTGAATTTGTCCCGATTGGCTAACTAACCTGACGTCATCTCTGTTCATCTTACCATCCCCCATTGGTGCCAGCGTAAACCGTTAGTGCAGGCGGGTACACTTCATTATAAACCATTTAAAAAACCTATTATCCCCCACTGGTCAACTACCAGCGTATACCATAAGCAGATGCACCATTCCATAAACATTCATGATTAAAAACTATTGGCTAATTTTGATTTAGTTCTGTAAAATACAGTGCTTTCTCTAAGTGACAGAAATCTGTCAACTATATTTTGAGTTTATCCAACATAAATAAATGTTCAAAGCTTTAGGTACGAGTATTACTAATTTATTTCCTGTATTCTATTTTTAAAAAAACTGTCCAAAAAACGGGGCTGCTAGTTACTCATAAATTTAAAAATAAACTTTTTTTTATTTATAGATAGTGCACAGACATCGGTAGTGGAAGTTCCAAACATGAAACGCTCCACAATAACTCGAAATTAGGCCTAGTGTTTTCTTATTCAGGGCCATTATTTACATTTGGTTTTGTTACACGAAGTGCTCCTAACTGAATGCTATTCATCCTTTTAATGTTTGAGCTCGGCCTGGGATTAATATAGCCGATAAGAGATAGGGTGTCGTTCTCACAATTTATGGGGTAAACATTTTATGGGACATCTGGCTTTCTGGCCGCAATATCCTAATGGGATAAGTATACAATTTGAAGGTTATTTGTTTACAAGTCGTAAATACCGAATATAATGACTTTGCAAATGTGTTGTATGTACCTCCATACTTCACTAAATAATACTTACAATTATTTATTTAATTCTCTTTTATTTTCTTTTACACCTTGAAATTAAATATAATGAAGTAAATTCATAGTTTTCGTATACTTATTATATTTTAGTATTCTAATGCATGTATGGTAGTAGCTGGCCTTTACAGCTTCACTAAACATAGACGAATGCAAATGGCATTCCAAACCCACGGAAGGACTTATGGAGCGGCTGAAGGCTAACTCCCACGTGACGGATACGACTTTAGTCTGAGGGCACCGCTAGGAGTTCAAACCGCGGCTTAGGCCATTGTAATTTCGATTCACGTTTGTCAATAGGGGGTCGTTCGGAGGGGGGTTTATAGAGTATAAAGTTACAAAAGGCGATCTTATCGCCTAAATAATATTTTCCAAATAAATAATTCAGGTTTTATATATATAGTTTAATACAAGGCAGTCGGTTATAAATAACAAGTGGCAAGCCTACCGGTATCTGTCAGATGTGTTTTTGGTTTGTTATCAAAATTTCCTTCACCGGAAAGTAAGTTAGGTATTTACATTAATAAGTTTTTTTACAGTCAAATTTGAGCTTACGAGTTTTATTTGTGTAATTCTGGTAGTAATCTACTAAGGTCTTAGTTTTTTTATGTAATAAAAATTTCCAACAAGTCGACAACTCATCTGATGGTAAATGGTAACCGTCGCCTATAGATATAATGGCACTATCACGTTATCATATAACATCATATAAATATTTTAGTCATCATATTATATTTTTTAAGCTTTTTAATTTTAGGTTCTTCGTTGTACAATTAGGTTATGTAAATACTAGTAATAAATATATTTATGTACGGACTAACATATCATACCTCTTATCCTGTAATTTCGTGTCCTTAAAAAGGTTCTCTTCCTTAAAAATCTTCCTTGTCCCTTCAAGCTTCAAATAATATTCCTATATATGTTGCGATATCGAATGTATTCCTAATTTATTACCTCTTTTGCCTTCGGAGGCAATGACGTAACTAATTACGTTAATTACTCCCTACCGTATTACAACTTTTGTAGTTCAAAACTTCCATGTTATTAACCAGACGTGACTTGCACCTTCGGTAATTGAATGATAGATTATCACTAAAAAAAATTACAACCGAAACCTCTTTTGTTACTATAAAGTATCGAAAGTGACTATCTTAGAATAATATCCCTAAAAATCATACAGAGCGACATCTAGTCCCAAACTGAGCAGAGCTTGTGTTGTTAGTACCCACAACACAAGATAAGAATAAAAAATACTTGAGAATATGCACGACTTGAAATGTGAATTATCTGTGTGTGTGTGTTTGTGTATGTGTGTGTGTGTGTGTGTCTGTGTGCGTGCGTATAGTGTGTGCAAGCTTGCACAAAAGTTACACATTAGTTAGTAAGTTTTAGTAGTAAAGATAATAACTATACTCATGAATACAAATGTTTGTAGCATGCGGTTTTTTCTTACCTGTATGTATATACATGATTCATAATTTTATTCGTATGATAATATTTTTTATTAAGTTGTTATGTATATTTGTAGAAAACGTAGATCTGTTTTTATTTAACTTAAGTAAACGCCGAGATCAATGCTTCAATTTCCACATTGAACATCCTGTTGTTGCCGGTGTTGGATGTAATAAATAAATTGAAGAACCTGAAAAGATGAGTTTCATTAAGGGATATTTGTTCTTGAAATTACGCCGGCACCGTGGGAACAAATGCGGCCGAATAATTAAAATTGGAAAGCGAAGATCCAGCAGTATTTTGTTGTAATTGATATTTATTTGCTCTCATTTTTTAATAAAAGATCAATTCTTTATAAGAAAATACCTTAAAAGATCAAATGATATTGAAGAATTTATAAGAAAATACCTTTGGTCTGCTACACCGCCCACGTAAAATATGTAGATTACTATTGGACTATTGGTAATATATATATATATAGAAAGAAAAGAAAGAAATAAAATTTAACGCCGGATTCGTAAGTGATGCTTACAGAATAGATCTACTGGTCAATCATATGCAACGTTCTAAAATCGACTAAGTTCTTATTATATCTCTTTATAGCTCATGTTTTTCTGATACCTTCCAATATGTAGTATATATGCATATAAATGTTTAATTTTATATTATACATGTAATCAAATTTATTAAACAAATATAGTGCCCGGGTGTACCACCTACCTATTCTATGTACATAAGTACTCTTCCAGGTTGTCTGTAAGAAATTGCTCATAGCGATACGACAGTCTTTTGTTATTACTTTTCTATTTACTGTTTTCCTTATTACATTTTCTCTGTACACAATAAAGAGTTTATAAAATACAAACAAACAACCTAATAAAACTATTATTATATTTTTGCTATATTGCAATTAGTTTGTTGCACTAAAGTCGTATAAAGTTTGGTAAGAACACCACTGATCGATCTCCCGTCGAATTCAAACGGGGATCGAAATTACGACGGACTTAGCTGAGGTTCGAACCTGAATACCCCAAACTAAAGTAATATCTGTCAGGTGTCTTAAACCGCTAAACAACTGAGGCCGTCTAACATGATCTGCATGGTAGATATCACGCCATCATGACTTATACATTGACGTTTCGAATTACTAAGATACACTACTACACAATATGTTACCCTTCGATCGATCCCCATTCCAGAATCAGAAGATTTGACGACCTCGGTGGTCTAGTGGCTTAGCACACCGCCTTACTTCTGATGGTTGCGGGTTCGATTTCTCGCACGACACAAACTTTTGTGTTTATGAGCATGATTGTTTGTATCATTCTGGATGTTTTCTATGTATAATATTTATGTACTTGCGAAAAAAAGTATCTATGTGTTTGTATCAGTTGTCTAGTAGCCATAACACAAGCTTTAGCTAGTTTGACTTGGGTCTTCATGGAGCTGTGTGAATTGTGATGAGATTATTATAATCAACTCCAATTAAAACAGGAATCAAAATTACGACGGCTAATACGGTCTATATAATTACAAAATGTATCTATCTATTTATATCTGTTGTCGAGTACTTATAACACAAGCTCTGCTTAGCTTAGGACTAGATGGCGCTGTGTGAATAGTCCTCAGTTATTAATATTATTATTACTTTGCCAACAGATTGGTTTCCTGGATGGCGGAAACACAGTAGCCAGCCTAACGACGACGGTACCTCAGGTCAAGACTGCGTGGAGGCTCGCCGAGAATTTCCCCCCAGGCCTGCCCCCGCTGAACCAACCTTCATGTGGAATGATAGAGGTTGCAGGGAGCACAATTACTTCGTTTGTGAACGGCCAGGAGTTGAAGGTAAGGCACTTATGGGACACAGTCACCTAGATACATCAAAATAATAATTGCATTTAATAATGTCTAGTAAGACAAATTCAATATTGTCTACTAAGCACTGCTGTGTCTAAACTGTGTCACTCCCACCTTACATTTTTCTATTGTTATTTAGTATATAAGATCAATATTTCTATGTACATATTGTCAGTTTATTATCATCTGTAATATACATCGTCTCGACCAACACCACGTATCATTCACCCACAACAACACTCCATAACTAATAATAAGCTGAGAAAATTGAGCAAAATTATAATAATAATAATAACAATAAGAGAGTTGATGAGATTTTTTTAAATTAAAAAAAAAATAATAATAATGGGTGACACAATCCCTATCCTAGCCGGATGAAATAAGCCAGACACAGATCCTCCGGTCCTCTCTAGATTGCTGCAAGTTGGGGCCTCTAGGTCCCTTTGCACTAGCATCAATTCCGGGAGCAACAACTCCCGGGTAACTGATGTTAATAGCCTTATCTTAAATAAATAAAAAGAAGGGACTTAATAAATTTTATGAATAGTTTCACCTACTAATACTGGGGGCCACACTGAAAATCAGCGCTGGAAACTATTTCCAGCATTATGCTGAGTTGTGGTCCACATTGACTCCGTTTTTTAATGTGTAAATTATTCTTGTAATTCTTATGTTATTACTGTAAAATCGAGTTAATAAAATTCTATTAGAATAGAATATCTAATACTTAATTAGTTGATTAGTACAATAATAGATCGGCAGTCCACTTGGCACAAGATAGAAATGCCTGGAAAGATTTGGTTGGAAGAAGTCCAATCAAATCTCACCAGGCATTCCTGGTGGTCACGACCCTTGAGGAATCGACAAAGAAAAGAGATAATAATAGATGGCGCCACATATTTATAGTTTTAGATATTTATAGTTGTCATCAAAAGATCGCCAATAATTTGAGTACCGAGTAACAGAATTCACTAGTATTTTTTTTTTTTATTTAGGTCACCAACAAGGTTACCAACACTGTTACATTATATATATTACATTACAATCTATTTATACTAAGCGCAACCTTAATTATAGACAACTACGACATTTATGTGACAAATTTGTGCTTACAATTAACAATTAACAAAACATAAAAAACAACTTAAAATTCTACCTATATAAAACCTGTACTGATTCAACTAGAACTTGTAATACTATTGAGACATCTGCGAAATTTGCAATAACTATTACTAAATATGTCAACTGATGAATGTTTCTTTGAATATGTGTTATAAGTTCTCATTAGCCTGTTTAAAGGTGAGTAGAAGCCCAAATTACTTGGTGCGAGATTTTCTATAAATATATTATATTTACCAGGTCTAGGAAGTTTAGGTGGTATTCGAATATTAACTTTAAACAACAACTCTGAACAGTTCAATATGCCATTCCCTAATTTCCAAAGAAACATAATATCTAGTACTTGTCTTCTTACAGTTAGAGGGTTCAATTTAAAGTATTTGAGTCTGTCTGAGTAGTGCGGCAACTTCCTCGTTAGGTTACAGCTATAACATATACATACTAGTGGATTTATATACATAGTATATGTATATATACATAGTCATGCTCACTAAAATGTCCAGACTTGTGGCGGCGTGGTGGGCCGGGTCAGTGGGCTCCCTAAAATATGGTCGAGCGCAGTGGTGGCTGGCTCATCCGTCATACTCGTTAACGGATGCTGCTTGTGTGGACTGGTCTGCTCTAATCACTATGACTTATTTTCTCTTATTAATTGTTTAACCAGTTGTTATGTATTGAATGTTTTTTTTTCTATTTTATTATTTCATTGAATTAGTGCTAATCGGTAGTTTGTATTCACACACTTAAACTTAAATTGTCAGTAAGAATAAATTATTTAAAAGAGCAACACACAAGTTTCTTGATTGTTCTTCTTGTGATGAGACAGCAATCCGAATGAGCGGTAGATTAAAAAAAATGTTATGACTATTTAAAAGTGCTTCAATGTAAGTTTATTTGAATAAATGATTTTCTATTCTATTCTATTCTATTCATAAAACTAAATTCACATGTGCATTTACAAACTTTATTAGACTTAGAGACCGCCAGAGCGTGTCCCAACAATCACGTAATAACAACTTAGCAGTTGCATTAACTTCTTGAACAAATTGAACTAAACTAGATTGCGGGTCACGTCTGTAAGCCGTTTAATGATTGTACGGACAACATTCGCTACTTACAACTCCATAACTTGCAACTTGCAACTCTATAACTTGCTACTTGCAACTCTATAACTTGCAAGTCACGAGCGCGAGGTTAACAAGTGGCGCTGCGGTCTTTTAACTGCCGCTTATGTGAGGGGACTTAATGTTTTACCGTCATTGTACTTGGCTAGAAGACAGTGCTCAGTTTTAGTGGTTTCGTTTTAGTTTCACGATATCAGATCGTGAAACTAAATTATGTTACAAAGTTTGTTACTAGCGAGGTCTTTAACTGTATTTTCTCAGTATTTGTATGAGTTCTAATTTGACTGATGTCAAAAAATTCTGTCTGTTAATTTACGTCCCTGACTGACTTTTCAGTGATGGAAACACCAGTAACAAACCAGATTATTCCGATAGCAATAGATTCGCCTTCTGACATTTTAGATATCCCGTTCGAATGCAATATCAAGCATCTGGGATAACAATCGAGAAAGTACTGAAAAATAGATCTCATTCTTTATTATTATCTTAAAAAGTAATAAAAAATTATAAATTTAAGATATGATCCCGTGATTTTTTTTTATTTTTGATATAAATTATGATCGCGTAAAATTTAAGAAAGTATATCAAGTTACCTATACTTTATTTGTCGGCCCCGGTGGTCTAGCGGTTTGGCCACCGACTTACTTCCAATGGTCGCGGGTTCGATTCCTCACACGGTATAAACATTTGTATTCATGAGTATGATTATTTGTATCAGTTGTCTAGTACCCATAAAACAAGCTTTAGCTAGCTTAACTTGGGTCTAGATGGTGCTGTGGTAATTTTCTTGAGATTATTTTATTACTATTATTATTATTATAAAAAAAGTATTTTATATAAATTCAATTATGCCACTACTTAGCTGTCCATGATTTGTGGAAAGAAATTTCTAATATATCTTCAATAATTCTTTATCAAAACGTTATAACTATCCAAACACGAATTCTACTGACAATATGCAAAATTCCCTATTCCCATATATCTATGTTCGAGTGAAATTTCTAATATCGCAAATGTCAAAAGCTTGTAGCATTATTTCTAACATATGCTGCAAAACCGCTACAACGGTGAACGTCCAAACATATATGAACTCCGTTAGTTCTTTATTCGCCCCTTTTTATGCTCTTTTTTTCTTAACCCGAGGGAAACGACAAAGGTCATTTAACGCTGGCTGCTCCTCCTGCGTTTGCTTTGACGCTTCTGACCTACTTCGAATACAAAACGGAACGCACTCCTCTCTGTGCATTGTACCAAGCCTACATTGTAACTGGACTGTACAATAAAGAACTTTATTGTACTAACTTTAAGATTCATTCTACAGTTGTGTATCCTGTGAAATGGCTTCCGTCACGTACTATGGTAATATTGATGGCAACACATTGTCATATTCTAATGAACCTGTATTCATTAACAAAAGACATTTATTGTACTAGCATTGTGGACAAGATCATATAATCGTTGACTTAGAAATAGTTTTATTCAAAACTAGCTGTTACCCGCAACTTTGCTTGCTTTTTTATAATAATATGTATATGCATTTTTTTTTTAATTAAAACATACTAGCTACTCGCCTTAGCTTCTCACAGCTGTACATGTATTATACATACAAACCCACCTCTATAATCACTCTATCTCAATATATAAAATAATATAATAATAAAATTATTTAAAAGAGCAACACGCAAGTTTCTTGCTCGTTCTTCTTGTGATGAGACAGCTTTCCGAACGAGCGGTAGATTAAAAAATGTAATGACTATTCAAAAATGCTTCAATGTAAGTTTATTTGAATAAATGATTTTCTATTCTATTCTATTCTATATATATTATATTTAGCAATCTAAAAACTGCATTAAAATCTGTTTCGTAGTTTAAAAGATCTAGACGAACACTCAGCGGAAGCTACTTCTATTTTAATCTATGTAAAGATTTAAAGTATGCCTGTCCATAAATTGGGGCATTTAAATGATTGCTATTAATAATATTATTTGGACATCTTAGTAAGATGTTCAAGTTCATCAATTGTTTTCTGCAAAATAAAAATAAATTCAAATTTAATTTACTTCAGTCCACATTAGACCTGCAGTTCATCAACAGTTTTACAACAAAATAAAAATAAATTCAAATTCAATTTAGTTCAGTCCACATCAGTCCTGTACAAAAATAAAATGTTTAAATGAAAAATCTTGATTTTGTATTACCTAGGTGTATTGTTACAAAAATCAAACATTAATTAATTTGACAGATTAAATAAATTATTATTTTTCCTTTTTCTGAATACTGGCACATAACAATGACAAAAGAGGTTGTATGCATATATTAATTAAATTAAACAAGTCCAGTCCTATCCATTACAAATTGAATGGACTGAACTGACCAGTCCACATCCACATCAGTCCTGTATAAAAATAAAATGTTCAAATGAAAAATCTTGATGTTTTATCTATGTACTGTTACAAAAATCACACATTAATTAATTGAACAGATTAAGTAAATTACTTTTTTTTTCTTTTTTCTTAATACTGGTACATAACAATGACAAAAGAGGTTGTATGCATATATTAATTAAACAAGTCCAGTCCTATCCAGTTCAGTTGAATGGACTGGACTGACCAATCCATTCAATTCTAATCAGTTCAAAACTAAATGGGTCATTAAATTTAATATCTTATGATATATCAAATTTCATGTCACGTTTGTATGCATCGCCCATACGCAAAAAAGGCAGCACCTCAGTGTATTGTTGAT